TTTTTTTTTTTTTTTTTTTTTTTTTTTTTTTTTTTCAAGTCAATCGTCAAGTTGTAGATTATATGGTTTAAGATGCGTACGAATTTACTAATTAATTAATTAATTAAATTTAAAATAAATTTGAACATTTTAAAACGATGTATAATTTTTTAAATTTATTTTCTTCACGAATTGATTATTTCCCCTAGTTTATAAATGCGGTCCTTAATTTCCCTCTTCACCACCTTGCAGCGCATAAATATCACTAAAAAATTTGTGTGTAACAAAAATTGTTAATTTTTCCACATTTCTCCTGTCAAAACAAAATCCAAAAGATAACACAAAACCACACACCGAAAGCAAATATCGCGTTTAAACTCACACACACACACACATACAAAACCGCGAGTGGTGCACCATGAGTTGATTGACACGAGCATATCCTTTCAAGGATTTCCATTTGTAACAAGTATATTTACCATGTCGTACATTTTGACATGCAGAAATGTTTGCACTTCCTGCTTTGTTGAGATTTTCGCGATTTGTTTTAACTTTTTTTGTATTTTTAGCGTTATTTTTTTTTTTATTTGTCTAAATTATATATATGCATGCATGTCCTTGTGATGAAGGAAATATAATAAACTTGTATGTTTTTGAGCCTACCATTTGTGGTGAATTTAGCACGTGTAGAATTTTCGATGTAATCCTCAGTTATGTCGTTTGTTTCGCTGTAGTGCGTGTATCCTTTTCAATGTTAGGTATGTATGAAAGGACTAACAACTTCGGTCTAAATCTAGATTGCGGCGCGGAGTGCGAGCGCGTGGCAAACTAGTCGACAGGAGTTAACAGGGTGGCACACGTTAACAACGGTGTCAACGGCAATAACAATAACAATAACGGAAACGGATGCGCGCAACACGAACGGAGCTCAATCACTTGTGCTTCCTGTGATGTCAGGCTTGAAATATTTTCGTTTGATTGGAGAAATTAATTTCAGTTCAACAAAACTTGGCACAGTTTTCGAATGTATTGTAATTCTCTGTTTATTTCGTTTTTATATCGTAATTGCTTCCAGGAAGCGCGCGTCACCAGCGACCTACTGCGCGAACTATACGAATTGTGTCGTCGTTCAGCTCGTTGTCTGAGCGTGTTTCAGGCGCCTACGACCGTCGCTTTTCACTTTCAAATTAAAAATGTTGCCGAGGCGACGATATCAGTTAGTAATATAAGCCAGAGAAGCCAAGCGAGTCGCCTGTAAAACCGAAAAGTGCCAAAGTCAGCAGCAGCGGGTCGCGGTTGGTAAAGACGCATCAAAGGCCACAATAACGGCAGAGACGATCAGTGCTGCTGATCGCATGCGCTGAGCGGCGGCAACGTCTTCTTACAGCAGATCTCGAAATATTCGCGCCAGTGTTGTTGTTGTTACTTACCGTATGCGTTGGCCTTACAAAGTGCATCTCACAAGCGTTGAAATCGGTGACGTCTTCTCAGCACAGCGCACCGAATGCGGTTGCGAAATTCCGCCCTCGACCTCTGACAACTCGCTTCGAGCTGAACCCACAAAAACTGAGGATGAGATGCAAGAAGAAGAAACTCAAGAGAAACTGAAAGTGTTAAAAAATTAAAAGAAACAGTAAAGTAAACAAAAAAGTAACGAAAGCTGCGCTGAATAACAAAATCAATAAGCAAAGCGCACAAACAAAACACAGTCCGCAAGACTGGCGCGGTTCACTTACGAATCTGCTAAACACGCAGTTGAGGGGTAAAAACCGTCATTCAGTCGCATTCGTCACTCAGTTAAGCCATCACAGCAGCTACTCATATATATATACATTGCGGTTCCTCATTTTGGATGCGCTAACGACCAACTTATCTCTTCAAAAATGTGTGAGCTGGTGTGTTTTATATGGGAGAGCTGTAGAGCGATTGTGATGCTTGTGGTCGCAAGCTGCCGTTGTCGCTCACTCGTCGTTCATGACAATGACATCGCCATCGCTGACCAGCAGCCACTGCCGCTTGATGTTGTTACTGTTGTTGTACACATTTGTTCCGTACACCCGTTAGCCGAATGCGAGTCGAGAAGCAAAAGGCAGCCAGTGATAAAATGACTTGTAATGCGAAACAGTGGGACAAAATTTTAATCCGGAACGTGCAAGTTACTAGAAGATTATAGTATATTCAAAGATAGTGGAGCCTAAGTAGTAAGAACAGTCCCTGAAGCTCATACAAGAGTCTTATAATTACAGAATCTACTATGGAAACAACGATACAGCTTGTAGCTATATGTCAGAGTCTGTCCTTTTTTGGATTTCCTAAAATGTAATCTTGTTGTTTCCACATTAGCTTACGTAATTATAACACTCTTAGATGAACTCAAGTTCAACAAAAACTAAAGCTCAGAATTAATTATTAAAAGTTTTTCTCTTTAAATTTACTATTAACGAATTTTCCATAATGTTTGGTCTAAATACAAGCATCTCTATTGATATTCGCTGCAAGCGTTTGCTATAAAGTTTTTGAAGTTCAAAACCAGTTTCCATATCATATTTCTCACACATCCGCCTTTAATGTTCATACCATATTTACTACTGCTCATGTGAAGGAGAATACTTTCACAATCTCTACCGAGAGGTCCAAATAGACCACGGTGATCTTTATTTCATCATTTACCTAGCTCAGCTAGCATCTTCCAAACTAAAGTACTGGAGATAGAGAAGGCTTGTGAAGTTCTGTTGTACAAATTCGGCTCTACTAGCCTTGTCGTCGCCAAAGTTCAACTTCTGCAAAGACGGCTTTAATCACACTGCCAGATCAAAATCGGAGACGAAAAAGCAGTTGAATTTGCTGTGTCAGGAACCTGACGACGAATCCGAGGAATGTGAGCAAGCAGGTCAAAACTGATATTCACAACTAAATGCAGGATGATGAAACAGATATAGATAACCATAACAAAACTAAAACTAAGGACTTATTATATAGGTTCAGGAAAAGTATTTATAGACTTACAGCTACCATAACGTGACACTATTAATTTGGAAAATGAGGGCCAAAAATAGGAATATCCTACCATAGCAAACTCGAAGGATAGCAAGTACTCACTTGTTCCGTGAGTGGCTGGCTTTATAAGAAATCAGACATCAAATTTTGGAATCCATCAGATACCAAACCTTGGTATAAAAAAGCATAGGCATATCAACACTATAGAAACTTATAGTACTTTGATAGATAGTTCTTCGAATATTTTGTTTCCACTTTATTGTTTCAGAACTTTTTGATCTTAAGCTGATTTAGTTCTCCGGTTTCTTAGGAAATTGAGCCTTTACAGAGGTTTAGTCTTTCTATCTTCAAATCGGACTCAATCACACTTACATAGGAACAGCTTTTCGTTATTACCATATTAAAACAAGAAAAAATGTTAACTTCAGTTGCATCGAAGCTAAATACCCTTCACATGTGCATTTATGTTAATAACTATGTGTTCAGTTTGTATGGAAGCTATATGCTATAGTAATCTGATCTGAAAATTTTTTTCGGATATTATATGATGCCTTTAAAAATAATCTATACCAAATTTCGTGAAGATATCACGTCAAATGCGAAAGTTTTCCATACATTCCGATCGTTCGGTTTGATGGCAGCTATAGTCTATAGTGAGCCGATCGGAACAATTTCTGCGGAGATTACATTGTTGCCTTAAAAAATAATATAAACCAAATTTCGTGAATATATCTTGTTAAATGTGACAGTTTTCCATACAAGAACTTGATTCCGATCCTTCAGTTTGTATGGCAGCTATATGTTATAGTGATCCGATATCGGCAGTTCCGACAAATGAGCAGCTTCTTGTAGAGAAAATGACGTATACAAAATTTCAGAAGGATATCTTTAAAACTGAGACAGACAGACGGACAGACGGACATGGCTATATCTATTCAGTTCAACATACTGATTATTTATATGTATACTTTATGGGGTCTCCGACGCTTCCTTCTGGGTGACAAAATTAGCATACCCAGCACAGGGTATAAAAAAATTTATTTTTTTTTTTTTATAAAATGTGATCCAATTCGAGGTTTCTTACTTTTTCAAAGAAGAAACGTAGAACTTTCAAATTTAATAGCGAACGTTTATTATTGTTCGAAAGAATATTCTTTGGAATTTATTTTTTAAGTATTATCTACGTCTCAGACGGTCCATTCGTTGAGTTCAATTTTCGATGATCCGTTAGACCACGAACTTCAATTTCAGACATTAAATTGTCGCTTATAACGTTCTCACCGGAATTTCTTTTGAAGGAATATGGACCGATGATTCCACCTGCCAACAACCACATTGATCTGTTGTATTTTTCTGGATATAATGGCAGCTCTTGAATCTCTTCAGATTGCCTCATCGCTGAACAAAATTTGACTAGAAAGCGTCGGATCTTGTTGGAACTTTTCCAAAGCCCATAGTCGAAAGTGGTCGAGTGATTTCAGTTCTTTCAAAGGCTTTATTTTGTACGCCTTCAATTTAAGATCTCGACGTACAATGCGCCAACTCGTTTCACACGTGGGATATTCCGTTGTAATAAAAATAATTTTTCTCTGGCTCAGACACTCCTTTCGCTACACTGTGCACCACAGGTGGCGTTCCGCATAGCAGTGGCGGCAGCACAACATGAAACGTGAGCCAGCATAACCAAATAGTGTGTACGTTAAGCGAATAAACGAAACCGCAAAAACGCTAATACATAAATGCAAGTAATGCCAACAATGTTAATAGCGCTGGCAGTGGCTCTGGCTATAGCTTTGACTGGACCGCAGCAAGCTCATAGTGGAGACGAATAAGCGCACAATCACAAACAAGTTTTGCAACATTTTTTCTCTGAAAAGGTGAAACATTTTCCACTTCGTTGACTTGCTGGTCTCGTAACATGCAAATTTCTCGCAATTTACATGTCTCACCGACGGACAGTGCGCACGCATGCGCTGTAACACAAAATTGCTAGTCAACATGCGGCTTGTGTTGGTGTTGGGAGCGGACGATAAAGTGATAACTGAGCGCACGAAATGAGCAAGATAGTGAGAAAGAGAGGGAGTGTGGTTGAGAAAACCGGCAAACGATGATGTTTGTTTTTGAAGTTGCTTTTGTAGGCCTTCTTTCATTGGCGCATGGTTAAGTCACCGCCGAGTAACGGTTTGTTGGGAAACAAGTTTGCATTGTTTACTGGGCCTTTTATAGATTTTATTTTATTAATTCTTGGGTTTCTCATAGGTACACAGTAAGTAGTTTCACTTTCGTTTGCGTTTCGGCGTAGTCAAATTACATGGAGATACTTGTAGTCTCTCTTGCTCTCATTTTCGCTGTCAAGTGTAACGGTAGAGTGTTGATAACAGGTTTGCAGCATCTGTGCTTTGGTTATTACATGTTCGATTGTCACGAGGGTCTTTACCATGTTACGTCTGTGGTTGCACCTCACCTTAGCACCTTACCTTTGCGGTTTGTGCATCATTCTACGTAAGCAGCTGTGATCATTTCACTTCTGCTCTTTACACTGTATTCCGGATCACTTTTCCTTTCGATCCGTAGCCTGCGGCTGCATTTAAGTGACTTTTAATAATGTGCAAGCGGATGTTGCAAGTGTAGCTTCATGTGTTATGGCATATTTTTTGTTATCGATTTTATTTCTGAGTAATTTTTAGGTTCGTTATTTTCTCCCGCTGAAAAAAAGTTTTCAAAAGAGTATCTAAAACCAGTTGCCGCTACCATCTACCCAACTACCCATCCGCGCACGTTGCATTTGCCAATGTGGCAAGCATATTTCTTTTGTTATATAATCATCTTCGTGTGGCCGTCTGTTTATTTTCGTTCATAATTGCATTTTTCGCTGGCGACATTACAAAAATTTCAAGTTGCACCAACCGTCGACTGTTGGCTGGCTTATCGGTTGCTGCACAAAACGTTTGCGGTAAAATTTGTTGTAGTCACTTTGTTGCTGCGGTCACTTTCAGCAGTCGGCAGCCGCTGTAGATTTTGTGTTGCACGTTATTACGGTGTAGCGTTGTGGCTGTAGGTGCTGTTACTTCAACTGGAAATGAAAATGAAGTTGACCACTATCGCTGGAAGTTATTAAATTTTGTGGTCATTATTCAGCTCAGCTGACCGGCTGCTGGTGTTGTGCTTTTAGTCATTGGCAACGTGCTA